GAGGTTCCAGGAGGCCCCCAGGAGGCTCCGAGGCGGGGTCTGGGGCTCGATTTTGGAGGGATTGTTCAAGCGAAACCGCCATTCCCTGAGACTCGGGGTCACAATTATTGAAATTACCATGTGTTTTTGAAGGTTTTATGTTAACATGTTGAAATTCCATGTGTTTTTGGACCCTGACGTCACGATCTGCGTGAGGGGTGCCACCGATTTTCAGAATTTCGAGGATGTCCCGAGCGAAACGCCCAGAAAAATCGCGGACGCGTGCGCATTAATCGCATCTGAGCTCTACTCCCTCGGAGAGGTGCGTATGAGAATATATATATATATATATATATAATATATATATATATATAGCGTTGTGGATCGGGTCCTCCTTTGCATCCGAGTCCTGACCGAACTGATCTGGATCTTTAGCTCGAGCTGCCAGAACATATAGTAGCTGCTCCAGAGCTAGTTGAAGTTGAAACGTGCGGGACGTTCAATCAACTCGACCTCAAAATCCGACTCAGCTCCGAAAAGGAACGACACGACACGGGGCACAGGCTTACGGACGCGCCACAGGATGTGCCAGGGTGCCAGGGGCGCAATCGGGGATGCGCCAGACGTATCAGGGGACGTGCTCTGGACGCGTCAGGGACCTGCCACGGGACGTGCCAAGGCGCGTGCCACGGGGCGGCCCGAAGACGTCATCCCAAGGAAAGTTGCGAGGGGCGCGCCGCGGAACGGGCGGGGGAAACGCCTGGGGACGAGCCAGGAAACGCGACCGAGGACGAGCCAGAAAACGTGCCACGCCGAGTGGCATGCTAGGGGACGTGCCAGGGCACGTCACGCCAGAACGTCGCAAAGGACGCGCCAGGGGACGCGCCAGCGCGTCAGGGGACGCCCCACGGACAGGCGGGGTTGGACTGCGATGCAATCTACTGCGACAAGCGTTTCGCTCGAGACATCCTCAACAAATCCTCAAGTTAGACATCCGCCTGGGCGACCTGCACAATTGAAAGCAAGCATCTCGCTCGAGACATCCTCAACACATCAGCATGCTAGACATCAGCCTGGGCGACCCGGACACGTGAAAGCAAGCATCTCGCTCGAGACATCCTCAACAAATCCTCATGTTAGACATCCGCCTGGGCGACCTGGACACTTAAAAGCAAGAATCTCGCTCGAGACATCGTCAACACATCCTCATGTTAGACATCCGCCTGGGCAACCTGGACGCGTGACAACAAGCGTTTCGCTTAAGGCATCCTGCCCTAATCCTCATGTTAGACATCCGCCTGGGCGACCTGGACACGTGAAAGCAAGCGTTTCGCTCAACACATCCTCATGCTAGACGTCCGCCTGGGCGACCTGGACAAGTGAAAACAAGCGTCTCGCTCGAGACATCCTCAAGACATCTTCATGCTAGACATCCGCCTGGGCGACCCGGACACGTGAAAACAAGCGTTTCGCTCGAGACGTTCTCGACATCCTCATGCTAGACATCCGCCTGGGCGACCCGGACACGTGAAAACAAGCGTTTCGCTCGAGACATCCTCTCAAATCCTCATGCTAGACATCCGCCTGGGCGAGCTGGACACGTGAAGACAAGCGTTTCGCTCGAGACGTTCTCGACACCACCTCATGCTAGACATCCGCCTGGACGACCTGGACACGTGAAACCAAGCGTCTCGCCCGAGACATCCTCAACAAATCCTCATGCTAGACATCCGCCTGGGCGACCTGGACGCGTAAAATTAAGAGTCTCGCTCGAGACATTCATGCTAGACATCTGCCTGGACAACCTGGACGCGTGAGACCAGGCGTCTCGCTCGAGACAACCTCAAGACCTGGGCACGTGAAAACAAGAATTTCACCCGAGACAACCTCAAGACCTGGTCCCCAAGAGAGGAACAACTTATAACACAAAGCAAGCGGTTCGCTGGATACATCCTCAACAAGTTCTGCAAAACAAGCGTTTCGCTCGAGACATCCGCAACAAACGACAATATGTACATTACCATGTGCTTTATCGGTCGGAATTTCGCAAAACAGCGTTTCGCTCGGGACATCCTCAACTGTTTGATTCGCTGGGCCTACGCGGCCTTGTTATCTATCGCAGAGTAAATTCACCAACCCTACTCAAGTCGAGGCCCCGCACCAGGTTTACCAACGAAGAGAAAACCGTGGGCTGGCGCCCTGTCCGGGAAAAAGAAATCACTGCATCGACATTTTTGGGCGCCCGATCTAGGTACGGACACATGATCGGCCCACGAATCCGGAAAGGGATCTAGAGCTGCGGGGCATGGGAACGTTTCCAAGCACCTCAATTGGGCGATGGGCAATGGCATTGCTGAAGATATAATGGTGATGATACTGTGTCAGGGGCTGTGTTGTGCCGCTCTGCGCTGTGCCGCGTCGCGAAGGGGCGTGCCAGGGGACGCGCCGCGAAACGTGCCAGTGGACGTGCCAGGGGACGTGCTATGGGACGCGCCTCGCGATGTGCCAAGGGGACGCGCCACGGAACGTGCCAGCGGACGTGCCAGGGCGTGCCAGGGGACGCGCCGCGTGACGTGCCCAGGGGACGCGCCACCGAACGGGCCACGGGACGTGCCCGAGGGACACCATCCGCCAGGACCCGTTGTAAATGATGCCAGGTTTGCGCTCCCAGGGCCGCGCTCCCCATGAAATGACGCGGGGGTCACGCTCCCGTGGCCAGGATCCCCCATGAATTGCACCACGTCCGCGCTCCCATGCCCAGGATCACTCAAAATGGCACGGCCCCGCGCGCTCCCGGGGCCATGATCCCCCGAATAGAAGGGTGCTCGCTCACTCCTGGGGCCATGCCATCTTGTAACTCACATTGCGCCCATCCCTCATGAATTACGCTGCGCTCGCTCCCCCAAAGACACGATCCCTCGTAAATTACGCTGCGCCCGCACTCCCAGGGCCACGATGCCTCGTGAATTACGCGGCGTCCGCGTTCCTAGGGCCAGGACCCCTTGTACATTACGCTATGTCCGCGCTCCCAGGGCCAAGATCCATCGTAAATTAAACGCTGTCCGCCCCCCCCCCCCAAGGCCAAGATCCCATATGAAGGATGCTGCGTCCGCGCTCCCAAGGCCAAGATCCCTCGCAAATTACCCGACATCCGCGCTCACATGGCCACGACCCCTGGTAGACATGATCGGCTCATGAACCAGAAAAACGGAATTTAGAAATGCGAGGCATGGCCACGTTTTCAAAACACCTGCAAAGGGCAATTGCAATGCTGAAGGTATCGATCGTGATGTACCGTGCATAGTGTTGTGCTGTGCTGTGCCGCTCTGAAATGAGATGTGTCATGCAGCCATGAATTTCGCTGTGCTCTGTAGCGTTGTGGATCAAGTCGCCCTTGGCATCCGAATCCTGACCGAACTGATCTGGATCTTAAGCTCGAGCTGCCTGAGCGCATAGCTGGCCCAGAGCTGGTTGCACTCGAAACGTGTGGGACGCTCAATCAGCTCAAGCTCAAGGTCCGACTCAGTTCTGAAGCGTGACGAAACGACACGGGGCGCAGTGGGGGATGCGCCAGGGGACGTGTCAGGGGACGTGGCAAGGGACGCGCCACGGAACGGGCAGGGAAAGTGCCAGGGGACAAGCCTCAGGGGACGCGACAGAGGACAAGCCAGGGGACGCGCCGAGGGGCGTGCCAGGAGGGCGTGCCAGCTGCCGTCACGCCAGGGGACGTCGCAAGGGACGCGCCAAGAGACGCGCCAGCGCGCTGGTGGACGCGTCACGGAACGGGCACGGGCCATGACAAACGCAAGATTTTGGCTCACGGACGAAGGGTGCCCATATAAAACACATGGCTTGCGCTCATGAGCGAAAGGGACCCATACAAAAACACGTGGCTTGAGCTCACGGGCGAAAATAACCGCAGTAAGAACAGATGGTTTGAGCTCACAAACGAAAGGGGCCCATGTAAAAGCACGCGGTTCGGGCTCAAAGGCGAAGAATGTGACAAACATGATCGACCCACGAACCCGGACAGGGATCTAGAACTGCGAGGCATAGGAACGTTTCCAAGCACCTCAACTGGGCAGTGGCAGTGGCAATGCTGAAGATACTAGCCGGCCGCTCTGCGCTTGATCGGGAGTTCCTGTATAGAAGACGATGCGTGCGCTTCTGGGCGAGAGGAGAATGATCGAGAGGAGAATGAGCGCGAGGATCAGGAGGGCGAGGCTCGCGAGGGGGAGGATCCGGAGAGTGAGGGTCACGCGGGTGAGGATCAGGCGAGCGAGGAGCAGGAAGGCAAGGGGCCTGACCTCCTCGCGCGCCTTGCGAGATGCCTCGAGCGAGAGCCCTGTCAGGACGCGCCCAGTGCGCCCCGACGCGTGCCCCTGAAACGGTCCCTGGGAGCCCCAGGGGCGCGGTGGGGCCCGAGCTCCGTGCGCGCGGGCGGTCGTTTTTGCGAGGGTGCCTCGAGCGAGAGCCCTGCTGGGACTGGGATGCGCCTGGTGCGCCCCGGCGCGCGCTTCAGAAACGGTCCCTGGGGGCGCGGTGGGGCCGAACCTCCTCGCGCGCCAGGGGTCGAGTGCGCCCCAGCGCGCGCCCTAGAAATGGTCCCTGGGGGCGCGGTGGGGCCCAATCTCCTCGCGCGCGCGCTTTGCGAGGATGTCTCGAGCGAGAGCCAGAGCCTGCCAGATGCGAACGATGTGCTTTGCATGCGCCCACCCCAATGCATGGGAGAGAATGCGCTACAGCTCTGATGAACTCCATCGTCTTCCTCCTCCTCCTCCTCCTCCTCCTCCTCCTCCTCCTCCTCCTCTTCCTCATTTTCCTCCTCCTCCTCCTCCTCCTCCTCCTCCTCCTCCTCCTCCTCCTCCTCGTCCTCCTCCTCCTCCTCCTCCTCCTCCTCCTCCTCCTCCTCCTCCTCCTCTTCCTCGAGCTTCATCGACGACACGGTCATCCGCTGCGATGGGTCGGCCAGCGCCGTGGAGAAGCAGCTCCCCCGCATTGCCAAGGTGCTCAAGGATGGCATGGACGACCAGGAGCTCATCTGCTCGGCCAAAACGGTGCTCGTGGTGTCCAACAGCGTGCTGGCAGCCAACCTGTCGGGCAGTCTCGAGGCCATAGGTATCCCACACTCGGCGGCCGACAAGGCGGTGGGGCGCCGCAAGGTGCGCACCGAGGCGTCGGCTCGCATCGTTGCTGGAGCCCGACGATGGAGGCGCATCATCAAGCTGCGACGGGCCACTGCCAGACCGACGGAGTGCCGAGGACTGTAGGCCACGGGCGCGCTGCCGCAGTCGGTCTACGGCCACCAGGTAGGTCAACGGTACACCTCCTGGACTGGCACGTCAGCTTCGACGACGGGCTGGTCATGCGGTGGGCGGCGCTGCCCGCGGACGGTGCCTCACGTCCGTGCTGGCGGCCACGGTGGGGCTGCACGACCCCTTCATCGCCCTGCGGGTGCAGCTGGTGGCGTCGTGGTGCAGTCTCTGGTTCTCCGACGTGTCCCTGCATGGCCGCATCAGGCGCGCCTGGCCGAGGGTCCTGGGGGCTCTACGGCGCGCTGGCAAGTGGCGCTGGAGGCGGGCTCAAGGACCCGTGGGCGCGCTGCAAGCTACGTTGCTGGACATGGGTTGGGACCCGCGCGCGGCCTCTGTCTGGGTGCGTCCGGCGGCCGAGGGCGTGGACGAGGGGAGGCTGGCGGGCGCCGCCGACGACAGCTTCCACACATGCGCCGACTTCAGCGGGGTGCTTCAGGACGTCGAGGAGGACCGCAGGCGCCAGCTCTGGCAGTCTGCGGCGTCGCACCTGCATGGGGACGACCTCGTCGGCGGCGCGGACTTCCTGCACATCGGCCGCGAGCTCAGCAAGCTGGAACGCGAGGCTCGTCATGCTGAGTGGGGCACCACCCTCACTGTTTTCTCTGGCGGCCAGCGGACGAGATCCCGTCGTGCTGATGCTGGCTACGCGCTGGAGCAGGAGGGCTGCGCGCGGCGCGGCTGTGCGGTCGAGACCCTGGTGCACAGGATCTGGCAGTGTCCTGCGAATGTGGGCGAGGAGTTCGAGTCCAGCGCTGCCCTTGTGCCTCGGGCGCTCGCTGGACATAAGGCATCGCCCGCCATGTGGTTGCGTGGGGTGCCCGCCTCCAGCCTGACCACCCCCGTCTTCTGTGACCTGAGGGCGGAGCAGGCCGCGGTGTCCCTTGGCACGGGCGGCACCCTGGAGGCGACGAGGCGCGAGGACGGCTTCGTGGTGGTCTACGGTGATGGCTCTGGCGAGAAGTACTCTGACGACCCGAGGCGCAGACGCTGTGCGACCAGCATCGGGGCCATGGGCCGAGAACGGCGAGGGGCTGTGGACCGAGTTGCGTTATGAGAGTCCGCCCAGGCGGGCGGGGATCGATGATAAGGATACTTTAATACCCTTGATCCTAAAAGGGCGCCCTGTGTACGCGTGCGCTGCTGTAACAATCAAGATAAACACAGATACTACACACGCACGCCTGCTAAATCCCTGAATCTCTGACACCCCTCCGTGACCATCGAGGCTTGTCCTCGTCGGGCACAATCTTGGAAGGCGGGGGAATCGGAGACCAAAAAAGGTGGCGGACCTTTGTCCGGACCCCAAAAACAGCGCGGGGGCTAAGCTTCATTAAACAGATGAGAAAACAAATGATATAATGAAATCCACTGCCTTCAATAGGAAAATCTCCAAAAATCGGCAGAGCGGTGCCTAAACAGGCGTGCAAATATGGAGCTATAAAACCACAGGGCATAAACAATATGGATGCAAACCAAACGGTACGAGGGAGAGGAGGCAGAGGAGGAGAAGGGGGGAAACGAAAACCGGAGGACTACCCCTCCGCATTGCCAGGCCGGGCCTTGCGGGCTCGGCGCGCCTCGCCTGCCGCTGCCTTAGCAGCGAGCATCTCCTTCGTCTGCGCTAAACACCAGCGGCCCTCAGACAGCCGCTCTAGCAAGAAACTCCTCTCAGCCTCGGCCTTCGTCAAAGAGTCCGCGATCATCAGCTTCGTGTCGATCCACCTGACACGTATCCTCCAGTCATCTCCCTCTCGCTTCTGCTTCAGCATGTCATGGCCGAGCAGCTGTCGGATCTGGGCCATCAGGATCCGTACTCGCTTGTCAGCGGGCTGACCACCATCCTTCTCCAGGGAGGTGGCAAGGCCATTCGCGTCCGTCAGCAGTAGCAGATGCTTGCCATCGAAAAACGGGTCGAACTGGTAGGATGAGTAGCCGGGGTCGGATATCTCGGCAATCACGTGCATGAGGAACTCCGCACTCTCAGCTGTCGTCAAGAAACCGTTGCATTCAGCCGCTAGCGATCCACGAACCACTCGCTTGATCGTCGCGCTAGCCCATTCCAGTGGATGTATGATCGCGGTGGCGTCCGTCTCGAGGTCGGGCGACGCCATGCCGATGATATAGCCGCGCTGCGACTTGACCTTCTCTCCTAGCGCAAGGTCGTCTATGTTGCCATGGCTGCTGCCCCCGCAGCCGAACACGATGGCACTGTCCCAGTCCAGGCGGGATGAAAACATCAGCTTGAAATCAACGTCGTCCTTAGCCATCTTGATAGCACGATTCACTGCAACAATGTCACGAATCTTGGGGCCACTCATGGCCTGAGCCCCAAGTGAAGCGTGGACGGCCAGGTCGGGGCGCGTCTGCCGTGCTACCCAGCCAAGCGACCCAACGCCGCTACGGAGGGCAGAAATCTCCTCCGGGGTGAGTGGCGCATTGGGCTTGCGCCGGCGGTGCGGCTCGAGGGTGATGTACTCCAGCGCCTCGACCGTGGCGGCCTGTCCGATCTTGATGTCGAAAGTCTGGTTGTCCTGCTCCACGACCTTGCCACAGTACCTGAACGTGTCGGACTGGAAGGAAAGGCGAATCTTGTCCTTGATGATCTCCATCACGCGCTCGAACTGCTCGCCCGCGCCCGTGACGAAGAGGTCGTCGACGTGCGTGCACAGCAAGCCGTTGAGCTTGCCCTTGCTGTCCCTGAGCATGAACAGACAGGGCTCGTAGATGGACTCGCGCCAACCCTGCTCCACGAGGATGGCGCGCAGATGCAGCCACCACTGCCTGCCCGCGTCCTTGGTGCCGTAGATTGCGCCGCGAGCGCGCATGTAGGACCCCTCCGGAACTCCGGGTGGTGGAGGACGAGGGGCTCGGAGAAGCAGGATGCGCTCAATGCCCTTGGACTGCAGGTAGGCCGTCGCAGCGTCAGCTGCCCTTACCTGCCACCGGTGGGAGGCAGCGTAGCTGGCGACCAGGTGGAAAGCCAAAAGGCTAGCAGTAGAAGCGTCGCCTCGGATATCATCTCCTCGTTCCTGGCAGCCCTGCACGACGAGCCGACTCTTGGCAGCGAGCGGGATGTCGTCATAGGTCTGCTCGAGGTTGCGCTTCTTAGCGTTCTTGTCCGCGTGGACCCAGCGCGTCCCAACTGGGGAAGCACCCCTGTCGAGGAGCTCCTTGGCCTGGCTAAAGCTCAGCACCTCGACGGCCTGGAACTCAGTCCAGCTGCGCCACTCCTTGGCCATGGCCTGATCGAACTCCTTCCTCTGCTCTGGGGCGAGGTCTTGAAGTCTGATCTCGGAGCGGACCGCGCCCTTGGTGAGATAGGCGAACTCGACTGTGTCGTTCGTGCCCACGTCCTCGTCGGCGTGAACGAAGATGGTCTCGACCGCGGTGGTGCCACCAGGCAGAAGCCGACGAAGGCGAGCATCGCGAAGAGCAAGACCTCTGACGTCGATGTCATCGATCACGATGCCTGTCTTGATGTCTCTGGTGATGCGGCGAAGCACCTTGGACCAGCGAGGGCCACGCTTGTCCGTAGTGATGAACTTCTTGATGCCGTAGTCGGTGCGACGCCACTCGTAGGCGACAGCCAGGTCCGGCTTGTAGTCGCTGGTGAGGAACACTTCGTGGAGGGCATCCTCCATGACGCTGAGCTCCTCCTCCACGTAGCCCTGGAAGGTACGAGGCTTCTTGATGGAACCCCGATCCAGACGCTCCGGATCGCGCATGGCTCTGTCCAGCTGGGTAAGTGACAGGCCTCCGCGCTTCTCCCCGCGCTCCAGGCCCACGCCCATCTCGTCGTCCGGCACCGGCTTGTCGGATCGTCATCCGGGGGCACCGGCTTGTCGATGGCCTCCTGAGATACTCGAGGATCGATCCGATGACCTTGAACTTCGGGATGAATGCTGGGCTCGCCTGGGCCGTACGAGCGCGGCGGCCCCTCTGCCTCTGGTAGCCCCGGGCGTGGTGGCTCAGGGACCACAGGAGGTGGCTGATGCTGAGCTGGCGGTGGTAGTAGTGCGTCGTCGGTCTCCTGAATGATTGGAGATGCTTGTTGTGGTACTTCGTGTGCCGGCGGTGGAGGATCGACCCGCTGCTGTGGTAGATGGTCCTCGGTGTTGAACTCGTCGAAATCGAAATTTACGTCAGGTCCTGGTCCGGCAGATCCTAGCGCGCCCCCAACCACCCCTCCGTGACCAGCCGCGTGCTGTTGCGGCCTGGGCATCGGGGCGGGCGAGGCTGCTGCTGCATCGGCCCGAATGTCGATGTAGTGCCTGGCCCCCTTCAGTGACCGAAGAGACAACAGGTCTGGGTTCACGTAGGTGTGCATGGCGAGCAGCTCGTCCTCAGAGGCGAACCTGAGCGACTCAGGAGCTGCGAGCACGGTAGTGTGTCCGTAGCACAGCCACACTGCATGGGCCAGTGTGCCGACGGGCTCGTCCGTGTCGCGAGAGAGGTGACGTGGGTCGCGCACCTCATGCCCGATAACCCGGGCTGGCCCAAACCAGCGGCGCGTGACCTCGGGGCTCTCGCCGACTCGGGTCTGCGACCGGCGGAAGTACACGATGGCCCCAATGTTGAAAGGGCCTCGGCTAGGCCGCGCCTTGCGCAGGATGGCGCGCTTGACGCGGTCGTCGGAGTCGAGGCGGACGTGTGCGATGCGGGCCGCCTCGCGCAGGGCCATGGCGCGGGCCATGGCAGACTGGGGGTCGAGCGACGCCTCGATGACCTCCAACCGCTGCGCCTCGTCGTCTTGCAAGAGGCTTCCTGGGGCACGGGGCCCATGAGACCCCAAGACCCACTGCGAAGGGGAGAACGCCCCGCGTCGGCCCAGCTCGTTCTTGACCTGGGTCACGACGGAGGCAGTCTCCTCGACGTCGCCCAGTCCTGTGACCTGCGAGTCGGCGACAGTACGTCGCCAGATCTCCTTCCAAATGCCCCCGTGGCGCTCGCACTTGCCGATGAGGTGCGGCGTCTCCAACGGGGCCAGGTCGACCTGCACGCCATGCGCCTTCGCGTTGGAGGCGAAATCCTTCATCCACTCCTTGCCCAGGTCCACCGTGAGCTTCTCTGGGTAGCCAGCCCACGGAGTCCAGCTGGTAGTGAACGCCTTGGTAGTGGCACGTACTGTCGGTGATCCACGAGCCGGGCCCATGCAGTACACGACTTGAAAGTTCGTCCCCTCGCAGATACAGTTCATAAAGAAGTAGGGGGTCCCGGCGGCGTCGTAGGCGTGGAAGGTGTCCAGCTGGATGGCGTAGTTGAACACGCACTGACCTGGTAACCGCGAAGGTCGTGGGGCGCGCCGACGGACGGCGTCGCCACAGGCGTCGCAGGAAAAGAACTCCACGTATTTCAGCACCTCCGGCTTGACTCCTCGGCGCCTCGGCAGCCTGGTCAGCGTCACGTTCGAACAGTGGTGGAAGTTGACGTGGAGCTGGCGGATGGCCTTCCTGACCTCTGGCGGGGCCTCCAGCCATCGCCTGCGCCGCTCGGCCTCCTTGGTGTTGGTGACGGGGCCGAGCTGAGCGGCCTCTCGGGCTCGCTCGCCGTCGGGATCGACGGCTGGCGGAGGTGGTGGCTCCCCCACAGCTTCTTGACCAGCTGGAGGAGGAGCAGGCTCAGGCACGTTCGGGCCAGGCGGTGGCGCTGGCTGCGCCATGGCTGCCCGGCACGGGTGCCCCCGCAGTCTGGTCCGTCGTCGTAGTCGAACTGGCCCACGAAGGTCTGGACCGTCCTCTGCAGGGAACTGCCAGTCGGTGTCCGTGGCGTTGTCGACGATGGCCTGCTGTGCGATGCTGCGGGCGACAATGTGGTTGAGCTCCTCCGGCCACTCGGCCGCTTGCAGAGTGCGCGGCCCGAACTTGTTGCGGCCCTCCAGCTGCTCGTGCTGGGTGCAGCTACACTTCTTGTCGGAAAAGGCCTCGACCAGCGTGTCCATAGTGGTAATGATCATCATGGGCTTGCGGTGAGTCAAGCCTGACTCAGCATCGCGGTACCCAACCTGGCAGCCGTCGAAGGTAACTTTCCTCAGGATGCCCTTATCCAGGAGAGAAC